AATGAAAATGAAAATATCACCTAACATTCATGTAGAAACTACACACATTTGTCAACTGTAAGAACAACTTGCGATGGATACCAGGGTTTAGGAAATATCAATGAAAGCATTCTGTGAGAATCAATCGACAAGATGGAATTTCTAATAAAGGGTATTGTATATTTTATTATTTATGTCATGTGCTATGATGCTCTCTAGCCCTAAAATTCATAATACATATATGCATGTACTTGTTGCTAGAGAGGCAGTTGTTAATCGCCTACCAGCACACCACTGAGTATACTGGAAAGTACTCAGGTCCTGGAATCAGACAAACCTGGGCTGGAATTCCAGCACATCTGTGTATAAGCTGTGTGACCTTGGGCGAGTTACTTAACCTTTCTGAATCTCATCAAGACGAAGGCAATGTGCTAACACTGTTGAAATAGTATGGGCTAGAGGCTAAGAACCCATGTTCAGAAATTGGGCTGCCTACATTTGAATCCTGGCTCCCCGTCCTACTAAGGGTGTGACATTGGCCCTGTGGCTATTAGCTGGTGTAGTAGTCAGGGTTCTACCAGAGAGGTAGAACCAGTAGGAGAGTATATATAAAAGAATTAGCTTACATGATTGTGGGGGCTGGGAAGTCTGAAATCTGTAGGGCGGGCCATCAGGAAGGGTGGGATGGAAGCTTAGGCACAAGCCAAAGCTGCAGTCCACAGCCAGAATTCCGTCTTCTTCAGGGAAACCTCAGTGTTGCTCTTAAGGCCTTTCAACTGATTGAGACTGGCCCACCCAGGGCCAATCAACTGATTGTCGATGTTAAGGAAAGCTACAAAATGCAACGGCAACACCTAGATCAGTGTTGCAAGGTGTTGCGGCCTGGCACACTAACCATCACAGATGGGATTAGGAGCCCAGGTTCAAACAGCACAGTAACCGGAAGGACTCAGACCCTGCCTGGCCAGAGTGAGTGCTCACTACGTGTCTGAAACCACGGTTCCCGCAGACACCGAAGTTGGCTTCCCAGGAGCAGGGTGGCCACTGCACAAGGACGGATCAGAAGCCCGAATGCGGAGATCCGGTTGGAGCCCCAGCACATGCCTGGCCGGCCGTGTAGATGACCACCTGAGGCCTTGCCCAGAGGAGGCTGGGAGAGTGAAGAGACGGAAGGAACCCCGCAGCTCTGGGCCCCAACAGGAAGCCCAGCAGGGCACACACGGACAGAAGGCAGCTCTCATTGGGTGGTACCTCTCGGGGCCCCTTGCAGGGTGGCTGGCTCACTGGTGGGAGGCCCGTGGTCGGAAGATGGGGTGGTTATGAGGTGACAGACGGGAGGCCCTGCAGGTGGGCCAACAGGAAGGTGGCCATGGTGGATGTTTCCGTAGCTACTGGCTGAGGATTTGTGTAGCTTTCATTTGCCGCCTTAGCCAGGAGCGAAGTTTAGAATAAATTCTAGGAGATCAAGCTCAAATCTCCACACTAGGTCCCCAGGGCCCAGGCAGACCTCTGGCACAGCTGTGGGCTCAACAGACTCTATCTCTGAGCCTCACCTGAAATGCCCTTCTCCCCTCCCTCTGAACTCTTGCCCCTGAGAATTTTGGCCTTGCTTAGACTCCCTGGGGAGCCTCTGTCCCAGCGAACTCTAGTCCCCACCAGGGCCCTGCTCCCAGATGCTGGCTCTGGGCCTGCTCGGTCGCCCCTGGGCGGTGCTGGGGGAGCAGTAGCCATGGGAGGGCCAGGTATAGGACAGACCTGGCAGGTCATGGCCCACGGGGTAAGGGGTTACCATTCCCAGGGAGATCTGAGGGCCCAGGCAGAAAGCAAGCCACTTCACGGTGGGATGTTCCGCACCTGGGCCATCTGTGCAGGAGAAGACTCAGAGCACCAGGCATCCTACACAGAATGAGGCCCCCGGAGAGAGATTTCAGAGCCAGGAAGAGCCTGATCCTCCCAGATGGGGGAACGGTGGCTGAGGGATCGAAAGAACTTGCCTTCCCTCATGCAGGCGGTCGCTGAGAAACGGAGCCAACCCCCAGTTTACTGGGGTGTGGGCCCTGCCCCACCACAGCCTGCAAATGAGCAGGGGTGGCTTTCCCAACTCAGGGAACCACCAAGAATTCTAAGCAGGCCACCCGGACTCCTGGGTGCTGCCCTCCCTGGCCAGCCCCACCGCCGCCGTGACTGGTGGCTTTGGCAGCTTCCCTGACAACCCTACTTTCCCAATTGGAGCTGAGCAGCCTGGGCCTCCAATCACTGCAGACACAACAAGGGCTGAGTAGTTTTACTCTGGCATGCCGTGGAGGATTGGGAGTCAAGCTGTGCTCCCCCAGTGGCAGAGGGCTGACCTGGGATGGCATTGCTGGGGATGGGCCCCAGGGCCCTGCCTGCCCTATGGCCTGGCTGCCTCACCAGCAGTATAGCACCTTCCCAGTCTCCTCTCCAACTGGACCTAGCCCCTCCTCCAGGCCACACTGTGGCTTTGAACTTGCAGCCACTGCTCCCTTGGCCTGTAACATATTCTACTGCTGTGCCTCCAGCTTTCTTTTTCAGGTCATTCCATTTTGTAGCACTGCCCCTCACCCCCCCTTTCAATCCCCACTGTCAAGTTCCAATACCACCTTGTATATTCTTCTTAGCAGCACATAGAGCACTGTTTTAGTTTATACACCCTGTTCTTCTTTTAGACTGCAAGCTGTCACCGTGATTTGGTTTCATTCATCATTTAATCCCCAGAATCCAGCCCAGTGTCTGGCACTGCTTGGCAAATGAGAAAAAGAATGGACAGAGGGATGGATGAATGAGTGTTGGCTGGATGGATACAAGGATGATGGAGTGAAATGGTAAATGGATCGATGTTGAATAGATAGATGGGTGGATGGATGATGGCTGGCTGGCTGACTGGCTGGCTGATGCCTGGAAGGAAGGAAGGAAGGAAGGAAGGAAGGAAGGAAGGAAGGAAGGAATGAAGGAAGGATGGATGGGTGGATGGAAGGATGGGTGGATGGCTAAATGGGTGGATGGATGATGGCTGAAATGAAGGAAAGAAGGAAGGATGAATGGGTGGCTGGATGGATGATGGCTGGAAGGAAGGAAAGAAGGAAGGAAGGAAGGAAGGAAGGATAGATGGGTGGATGAATAGACGGTTCATCCATTTCATAAGACAGCCAAAGCTACCCTTTTTCATCTGTGGAACTTGTCTTCCCCGGGAACGGAGAGAGCCTTGCCCACTGAAGGTTTAAATTACAGCTTCACCGTTATGTTTCCAGAGGATCCTTCTCTTCTTTAGGTCCTCCTAAGCCAGCTCTGAGAGAAGCAAAGCAAGAGACATTGGCTCCACGTAATGGATGAGGAAGTGAGATCCAGAGCTGTGAAGGGTTTTATTCATGGGTGCCCAACTAGTTTAAAGCAGAATGAAAATCAGACCTCTCACTTCTTGATTCTGGCTCTGAGCTGTGTGAGATGTAGAGAGTATAGGCTGGGAGGCAGGAGAAGCCCCAAACCACATCAGGCCTCAGCTGGCTCCCTGTAAGGAACAGAACTGAAGTTCACAGACCTGCTGCAGCTCTGGCCGAGGCCCTCCCTGGACCCCCCCAGAGACAGGGTGAGCCCTGCCTTCCTAAACAAGCCATGTCTGACTGCAGCCTTCAGTTCCTCCAGGAAGGAAGTGGCTTTGAGAGAAAAAGCAAGAGAGGTTGGAAAGATCTAGAAAGCCAGAAAATCTCCTTTGCCCACCCCTGATGGACCAGGACTGGCTTTGTAAGTCCATGGTGGCACCATGGAGGCAGGGGGGGGACAGCATTTCGCCTTCCTCCTCTAACCTCGAAACGCGAGTTGGCAACGTCAGCCCCCCTGGCCATCCTGGGGGAGGGCAGCCTGAACGTGATATTCTTAAGGACAGGAATATGAATTGGCCATTTTGAATGGCCAGTTAGATGAGTAACAGCAATCTCTTATATGTGAAAAGTCCTACTAACTTTTTTCCTATTAATTTTTTATTTTTTAAACTTTATAAAAATATTTTCAGGTTAAAAAATGTTGCAAAAATGATACAAAGGCATTCCCAAATGTTAACATTTTACATTTGTTTATTTGCTTTATAATTTCTTTTATAATTCTCTCTCCATGTACACGTGTGTGTGTGTGCAAATGCGTATATACGATACAAAATTTGGGAGTGAATTTAGATATTTTTGCCTCTAAGTACTTCAGCATGTGTTTATTTAACAAGACATTCTCTTACATAACCACAGTATGGTTGTCAAAATTAGGAAATTCACTATTTCCATAATAGTATCTAATCTATAGACCTCTTTCAGATTTCACCGATTGTCCCACCAATATCCTTCTTCTGACCTAGGATCCCACCTGCATTCAATTGCCGTGTCTCTTTAGTATAGGATCCTTTAACTGGGAGCAGTTTCTTGGCCTTTCTTTGTTTTTCACGACCTTAACATTTTTGCAGAGAATCAGCCAGTTATTTTGCAGCAGCCCTTCGGTATGAGTTTGTCTGATAGTGTTTCCTCCTGATAAGGCTCAGGTTACGCAATGTTGGCAGGTTGACGCAGAGGTGATGCGGTCCTTCTCAGTGCGTTGTATCAGGAAGGGCGGGATGATATTGGTCCCCTCACTGGTGAGTTTAGCCTTGATCATTTGGCTTAGGTGGGGTCTGCCAAGTTTCTCCACTGCAAAGTCATTCTCTTTCCCTTTATAAAGTGTTAAGTATCTTGTGAGAAGGTTTCTCAAGACTACATAACTATTTCGTTTCTCATCACACGCCTGCTCACCAATTTTAGCATCCACGGACTGTCCTTGCCTGAAGCAGGTATTGCTGTGGTGGTTGCCATAGGTGATTTTCTAATTCCAACATCCCTTCTATATTTACTGGTTGGAATCCTTCTGTAAGTAAGAGGTTTCCCTTCTCATTTACTAATTCATTTATTTATATCAGTTCAGACTCAAGGATTCTTTCTTTACTGTGGGTTATAATCTGTTACTATAATTAATTAATTATACCATTTTATTTTGAAATAATTACAGATTCCCAGGAAGTTGCAAAGATGGCAAGTCCCATGGGCCCTTCACCCAGTCTCTGGATGGTTGTATCTTACATCACTATAGTGCAATGTCAAAACCAGAAACTGACACTGGGGCAATGTCTATGAATACTGAATTCTTGTAATCACTGCAGTAAAGATACAGAACCACTCTATCACCACAAAGATCTCCCCTGTGCCATTCTCTCATAGTTACATCTCACCTTCCGCCACCATCCTTAATCCCCGGCGACCACTAATTTGTTCTCCATGTCTGTACATTTTTCATTTCCAGAGTGTTCTATAAATGGAATGTTCTATACACGGATTGGGTTTCTTCACTCTGCATACTGTCCTTGAGATCCACCCACATTGTGTGTAGCGACATTTCATTCATTTCCACGGCTGAGCAGTATTCATGGTGTGGACACACCAAGTTCGTTTAACCATTTGCCCGTTGAAGACACGTTGGCCGCTTCTGGTTTGCGGCTATTGCACATAAAGCTGTCCCGAGCAGTCATGCCCAGGCTTTGTGTTTTCATTTCTCAGAGCTAAGCGCCCAGGAGTGCAAGTGCCAGGTGATATGCTGGGTGTACGTTTAGACTTTCAAGAGGTCGCCAGATTTCTCTAGAGCGGAGGCGCCACTCCACATTCCCATTGGCACCGGGTGAGGGATCCATCTCCCTGTGTCCTCGCCAACATTTGTATTGTCGCTATTAAATTTTGTATTAGCATTCTGGTGAGGAGGCAGCGATATCTCATTGCGGCTTTAATTTGCATTTCCTTAATGGCTAATGATATTGACTGTTGCTGCAGGTGCTTACTTGCCATCCGTCTGTCTTTAGTGAAATGTCTCTTCATGTCTTTTGCCCACTTTCCAGTGGGATTGTTTTCTTTCTTGCTGTTGAGTTTTGAGAATTCTTTATACATTCTAGATATAAGTCTTTTGTCAGATACGTGGTTTGCAAATATTTCTCCCTCGTTATCTGTTCTCATGCCCAAATTGTCCTTGTTGATTTTTAAAAGCAAGTTATCATGAACTCATCTGACAAACTGTTTTCTAGGCCCTACCATCTGCTGGGCGCTTGTCTGGGAGCTGCAGATAAGACAGATAAGGTAGGGACATCTCTCATGGGGTACTCACAGGCCAGTGTTGGTGTGGAGTAGAGAAAAAAAAAAAAAACAACGGATCACTTCAGCCACAGCACAGCCAATGGTGTAAAAAGGCATGGATGTGGTGTGCAGTAACACAGGGGCGTGGAACACCGGCCAAGGAATGTGGGAGAGTCGGAAGGACAAGTCTCCTCCTGAGTGGCAGACAATGGACCCCGGGCATTCCGAGCAGAAGCAAGAGAGCTCATGCAGATGTGGTTGAGTAATTCAGAGCTCAGGGCGGCCGAGCTAGGAGGCCAGAGGGCACTGTGGGATGCTTTGGGGAATTCCTTGGAGTTGGGTTGGCATCTCGCAAGGTACTCCCTGGTCATGTAACCATGCACTAGATACTAACTTACCTCAGGCCCAATTTTCTTACAGGCAAAAGGAGTTTCGTAAGTGCCTACCTCCCAGACCCCAGCAGGATTAGAAATAATACACATAACACATCCAGAACAGTGCCAGGGAGATAGAATTAGACGCTTCATAAACACTAGCCATGGAAAATTCTTTTGGAAAAACAAAGGAAGTTTGAAGATTGGCTTGCAGGAGGGAACTCCACCAAAGTCCTGCCCCTTCCCGAGGGTCTCTCCCTGGGGCCCATCCCTCCTTGGTTCGTCCTGCCTGAGGGAAGGGGCGAACCTCCTCCCATCTACCTCAGGCCCATCTCCCTGGACCTGGGACCGTACCCTTGCATCTCCCTGGTACCAGGACGATCAACACGGATTCAGACATGCTTTTGGTTCCTTTCCAGCAGTGCTTACACCCCCCTGGGCCACCAGGCGATCACCAGGCCTTTCTCTCTGAGCCCCCTTTCCTAGGAGAGTTGTTTCTTATCACTGCCTTCACTTCCTCTCCTCCCGCCCCTTCACTCAGTGTGGTCTGGCTCCCTGCCCCCACCCCAGGGACTTCCCTGGTCAAGATCATCGTGGCCTCTGTGACACCAACATGATTCACTCTCTCTCACCCGATTTCCCTGCAGCGTTCGAGAAGGTTGACCACTTCCTCCTTCTGGAGACATTCTTCAGAGGCTTTCAGAGGTGGTGCCCATGCAGGACTTTTCCCGGGGTCCTTGGGGGAGCCTCTTCTGAACTCCTCGGTAGGTTCTGAACCCACTTCTAAGGAGAGGTATCCCCAGGGTTCATCCCTCAGCTCTTTGTCCTTCTCACTCAACATGCTTGCTCCTCTTCCTGGTCCGTCCCTGAGCCCCATCCATGCCTTCTGGTAGCTTCTTCAGCTGGAGGGGTGTGTCCTCAGGTCTCTATTTTCCCACCCTCAGGCCTCTCTCCTGAACCCCAGACCCCTGGATCCAACTGTCTATTGAATATCTATCTACACCTCGAACTCAACGTGAGTGAAGTCAAGTCCCCCCCGAACCCTCCCCAGACCAGCTCCCCCTCCCCAGATGCCATCTTCCAGAGAACAGCACCACCATCTTCCAACAGTCAAGAACAGGATGGGAAAACAATGTTGGAGAGGTGAGTGATAAGTTCAGTGTCCCCTTATGCACCAGGGGAAACTGAGGCAGAGATGCCAGGGAGCCGCTGTCAATGTGTGGCTGGAGTTGGGGAGAAGGATCAGGGAAGGAGATGGGATTTGATGATGTTCTAGCTGAGCCAGGGACAGAGCCACAGGCCCAGCCCCTTTACCAGGACCCCCCCCCCTCCCGGGGCGTGCTTGCAGGCTCTAGGCTTGAGAGTCGAGAGCGAGAGCGTAATGATCTGCAAGGGCAGAGAAGGAAGGAAGAAGAGGTTCTGCTTGATTAAGCAAGGGGAAAGGAGAGAGCCAAAGGAGAGGGAACTGGGAGGCTGCAAGTAAAAGTAGCTACAGGGGAGGGGGGGATGGGGAGGTACAGGAGGAAAGGCTAAAACAAGAAGTGAACTTGACGCGTTAATGTGGTTTGGAGAGACTGAACTACCCGCCACCTCACTGTGAGTCTGTGAATTTGCTCTTCCTGCCTTAATCTGAGAAGGTGGGGGCCAGGAGCAGAGGGAGTCCTAATGACAACACTGAGAGAAACAACAACAACAAATAAATAGATGAAAACAGCCTCTGACAGGTATAGAGTGGAGAAGGAACATTTGTTAGGCAAACGAACAAAAATACAGGCAACTGTCTGTCTTGATTGACACTCAACAAACACTAATTGAGAACACACTAGTGCTTAGCACTTGAGATACTTACCACATTTTATCTTCACTGCCATCATGTGCAGTGTGTTTTTATCCCCATTTTACAGTTGAGGAAACAGACTCAGAAAGATTACTCAACTTGTCTGTGGTCACCCAGTTAAGAGTGTTGACAGCGTCTGATTCTGATGCCCGTGCTTTTTAGTTGTTTTGTCAATTATTTGTGTTCGTTTTTCTTAAAGTTAAAGTTTACAACCATGCAGTTTAAAAAGTTAACTAGTTCTACAAAGTTTATTAAAGAAAACAGCATTCACCAACACCCCTCTTTCATAGACGAGCCCTTGCAACTTTTTAAATGATTTCGTCTAATACTTACCTTCATAACTCTGTATTACATGCTTGCATTACTATTTCTTGATATTTCTATTTTAGGCATTATTGATTGATTTCATTATGGAACAGTGGGTTTTAGCTCTTCTCCTCATACGCATACACCTGATACACATGTGCACATCTCCTAGTCTCTGTCTCCCAGTTTAGTCATATAGTTAATTTACTTAGATCAATAGTCAGTGCTATCATTATTATGATGAAATAACTACTACTACTTAGAACTGATTCGTGTACCAAACTAAGATTCCTTTCTCTTTCCTGACACCTTTTGTGGGGTTTTTTTGGAGTTGATATTTGCTATTGTTTTTCCTGTTGCTTGCAGTTTCCTATTAATTTATTCATTCAACATTCAAAATGGCCATTCGTTTTCTGAAGAGTTAGACATATCCATACACATTCATTTTTGTATTTGTTTCATTTTCCATGAGCAGTGTTTCATGGGGTTTTCTTATCTTCTCCAGTTGAGACTGGCTACCATCTCTGCCTGGGTCATGACTGTCATCCTGGGCTCTCCCATAATCATCATTTGGGGGTTCCCTTTGCATCTATATCTGTTCCATGTTTTCCTCTTTCTTAGTCCACCTCCCCTCCATTTTGGTTGATATCTCCATTCATCAGTCCTTTTCTGATCAAAATGTACTGGAGTAAAATTTTAAACTCTGTGGATCTTTCTTCTTGGGCTACTCTTTTCCCTCAAAGAAGAGACTTCCAGTGTCTTGTGTGGGCAGTGTAAATCCAGATGCAGCTTACTGGGAGCAACTGAGAGAAGTTGGCCATTCCCTCAACATAGAGCATACAAATGTTCTCCTGTTCCCTGTTTTCAGCGCAGACCTCCATCCTCAGCTGTGCCTCACACACCTCATCCTGGTGCAGACATTCCCTCTTATCGCCAGGCTTTGGTCATGGGAAGAAATAGATGGTTGCCTAGCTGTGAGGATCAGAGGGAAGGATCTGGAGTTCTAACTGCCTTTGGGTAAATTGCCTTCACTCAGTAATTTCTATTTTGACCCCCTCTCTTCACTTGCTTCCAGGAGTACCTGATGCTGCCAGTTCCTGAGGCTTTTGAGGGTTTTACTGTGTAAGTTGACTTGGTTCTTAGCTTTTCCTAATACCAGCTTAGGAGTACTTGATATTTCTCCTGCTAAGGTGGTTATCACTTCTCTACCTGCTTTCCAGCTTCCAAAATTTTGTGACTCTTCTCTCTTGTTTTCCTCATTTTTATGGGTTTGTGTCTTTAAGATGCTTGCTTGTGTTCAGTCTCTATCTTTACCTAGGAATCCAAGGCCATTTCTCCCTATACACAAGTATCTAGTGTTCAGAGTGGGCGGGTCTTGTATACATGAGTCACTTCTCAGTCTCAAAAGTTTCTCAGAGAGAAAGGAAATGAGCTTCTTGGTGTGAAATCAACATATTTCCCACACAGGAGTCAAGACACCTGAAACCTAGACTGACTTGCTCATTACCTTCCTGGGCAGCCTCAAGCAAGTCATCTCACCATTTTTGCTAAATCTGTGTTCCCATCAGTTAAGCAATTCAAATGCCACCTGCAACCCTGCATGAAGATAATGAGAATCAAATGAGATGATGGGAGACACAGCTCTCTGCCCTGTTTTGGGCACCACACAGATAGCTGAGATTAACATTCCTGGTCTCTAATTCAGGAAGCACCTAGTAGGTACCTGGGCTAGGTCCTCAGGATTCAGAGATAAGAAAGCAGGTTCTTTTCCTGGAACAACTCATGGCACAGCAGAGGATGCAGAAGAACAAAAAAAAGGGGGGGGGATTGCAGCATAGTGGGATAAGAAAGGCTGCTGGTAGTAGGTGAATGCACAGCAGAGGGAGACCAACACTGCTCACTGACTTGGAGGTCAGAGGAGAGCTTCATTAGGGACTAAGAAGAATTGCACCAGTCAGAGAAGAAGAAGGTGTCTAAGACAAAAGGACTAGGATGAGCAAAGGAAAGGAAGCAAGAGCAGAGAGCTGCAAGTTCGTGGGGCTGGGAGCTATGTGGCTGGATTAGGGCTGGCTTGTGCCTGCCATCTACGCTGTGCTCTTTCTCCGTGATCCAGAGATGGGGTTGACCCTGGCCAGTGGCATGGTTGAATCTGCTTGAGGGAAGGTCGTTTCTGGCAGTGAGATGAAGGGTAGCTTAAAGAAAGGCCAGTTGAGCTCAGAGGTATATCAAGATGCTGTTGCCATAGTCCAGCAGGAGAGTGATGTGACCTCAAGGCAGGCAGGAGCTGGGGAGATGGACAGGGGACTGTGGGCTTCAAGAGATATTTAAGAGGCCAAATCATCAGGACTTGGTAATCAACTGAGAAATATAGGGGATGAGAAAGGTTTAGTAGTCTCAGCTGACTTGGGCATCCAGCTCTGGTGGCTGGCTGGCCAGTGGGGCTGTTCTCCAAGCTACATGGGTAAAGGAGGAAGAACAGGTTTCCATGTGGACATTTGGAGTGTCACAGGTCTTCATAACACAAGAGGGGATGACAATGAGGGAGTTGCAAGTGTGCGTCAGGAGAAAGGCTAGAGATAGCAGCCACCTGGGCATCAGTCATTCAAACATACCCACCACCATCACCACCACCATCACCACCCTCACCATCATTATCACTACCACCCTTGTCATGACCATCAACTCCATCACCATCACCACCCACCACCTTCATTACCATCAGCTCCACCATCATCACCATCACCACCATCACCATCATTATCACCACCACCTTCATCATGACCATCAACTCCATCACCATCACCATCACCACCCACCACCTTCATGACCATCAGCTCCACCATCATCACCATCACCACCATCACCATCACCACCCTCACCATCATTATCACCACCACCTTTGTCATGACCATCAACTCCACCACCATTGTCACCATCACCACTACATCATCACCACCATCACCATCACTCCCACCACCATCACTGTCACCCCCACCACCATCACCACTGCCCCACCACCATCCTGATCTTTGAAGATTCGTTCCATTACCCCATCTTCCCAGAAATTATTATCTCTTCCAGGACAGGAATCACTGGGGCCCATGCCTGCTGGTGGCAGATATTCAAAAACTATGAATATTATAGTCAACTAGTGACAGGTGGACATTAGTGTCAGAAAAACAGAGTCATTGGCTCCTTGCTCACCTCATCCAGCCCGCCCAGGGTGTCATTTGAGTGGTTTGTGCATCTACCCTCAGCCAAGCCCTGTGTCGGCAAAGACTGAAATCTGCCATCAACTCAGACACATAGACTGGGCCAGGGCCCACCTTCTCAGAGTGGCAAGACTATTGTGCTTCCCCTGCCTCTTTAATCAGTTGGTACCCAGAACAGAAGTCTCCCACTCAGCTATCTGTCCCTCGCCACACTTTTACCCCCTCAGTGCTCTGAACTTGCATCCCCCAGAGAAATCCTCCTTTCTCCACTTCCCACCAGCCCTGCCCTGGACTTCCAGATATCTTGCTGCATAATCTGCTGCTCCCCTCCAGCTTCATCTGGCACCTGGCTGTCCACTGAGGCTACCTCCTCGCACGTGGTCCTCCTATGCAAGGCACCTTAGCGGCGGTGTGTTTGTGTAGTGAGTTCCTGGGTCCTCCTAAAGATTCTCTCAGATGCCCCTAGCCAGAATCATACCTCATCTAATAGAAGCATGTTCTCACTTCCCTTTTGGAGTTAGGCATCAACACGCACTAGCTGTGTGACCATGGGCAAGCCAATGACTTCTCTGAGTCTCAGTTTCTTCATCTGTAAAATGGGAATAATACCTCCTCCTTTTTAGGGCTATCATTGACCTCGATGACATAGCAAAGGTAAGTCAGCTGGGACATTGTGTGACACATCCTAAGTGTTGGATACATTTTCATTGCCTGTTTATTTCCCTAACCCACAGCCTATCACCTCCAGGTTTCATTTTTACTATTGTTATTTATGGTCTTGTCTAATCTATCCTTATCAGGCACTACATAAGAGCAAAGTGTGCCTCCCATATGCTTTCAAATCTCCCATAGCTCTGTAGCCATGATAGGCGCTCCATAAATGTTGGCTAAATGACTGATTGATGCAGGGGCTGTTCAGCAGGTGCACATCCTTGCTCATTTGTGCGTTAACCTTAAAGAAATGAGAAGGCACCTCTCAGATCTTTTTGTGCATTCTCCAACCAAATGGCACCGGCATGGGGGATATCTGTACACTGCTCCCATGGAGTTGTGCAGATCTAGCAGGGCTGGCCAGATTATAAACTGTGTCAATTACTCAGACGACGCGCTGTTTCCATTGGGCCCATAAATGGGTCTGCACTAATCAGGGGAGGTTTCCCAGAGAAGCTGAGATGAGACCAGCAGTCCTCCTTCAGGCTGCACCTTAGAATCGCTTGGGGGCTTTAAAGACCCAATGTCTACAGGCCACACCCAGGCCAATTAAATTAAGACCTCTTGGGGTGGGAGCCAGACATGAGCAATTTTTATAGTTCTCAGGTGACTTGTGCAGCTGAGTTCGAAACCGTCTGGGTTAGAAGCTGGTTTGGGAAGACTGGGGGAACAGGGGGGTCTGCCGCTGTTGGCCCTGGAGGGGTGATGCAGTTGCCCGGGGGGGGTCACTCCCCTTCTCACCCCTGTGGCCTGTATTCTCCTTTACTGTTTTTTCCCCCCTCTCACCTCCAGTTTACTTTCCCCGCCGACGAGACGGAACATTTCCTTCCAGCCCCTGCATTAATAACACCATGTATCCCCCGGGAGATTAGGAGCCTCTCTGTGTTCAGAGCCCCCTCGCTCATCAAAGGCCGAGGGCGTGGGGAGGGGATGGGCAGGATTTACACGGGTAACTCCAATTAAGACAAATGTCAGCTCCCTCTCTGCAGGCTGCTGGGGCTCGAGCCCAGCCGTGGAGCGGAGGCTTGGTGCGGGAGAGCAAGACTGTTTTGCTGTAACTGTCAGGCTCTGACAGAAGCAGCCAGAAGGAAGCAAAAGGAGAGCATGAGCAGGAGGGCAGTCCTGGCGCAGAGACCCTGCTGGGAGGCGGCTCACAGACCCTACCTCCCCAGCATCGTCCCTGGGCCAGGGCGCTGCTTTGGAGACACAGTGGGGCTGCAGGCCCATCCTGGGGGGTAACCCTTTGAAGCCTCTTCAAGGCACCCCAGGATTGGCTGTTTGTTTCCCTGAGGCTCCTCCAGGACCCCTACCCACTGGAGGGAAGAGCCCCTCCTATGCAAAGTGCGGTCACCTGGGAGATGGCTAGAAATGCAGAGTCTCAGGCCCAGCCAGTCCTCCGGATCAGAACCTGCAGGTTAACAAGAGCCCCCAGCAACTGGGACACACAGTAAAGGTGGTGAATCTAGACTCCAGGGTAAGACAAAGCTGAGCATGATGAGGACAGGGAGATGCTGTGCGGTCGGGGAGTCTAGGCCTGGCTCTACCCAAGACCTTCCAGATCGCCTTGGCCAGGTCATTTTGGCACCCAATTTCCCAGTCTGTACAACGGAGAGAAGGATGCCTCCATGGGAGATGAGCAACTCATGGAGATGTAGGTCATTATAGTGATGGAGGTACAAAAAATAGCGAGCATGTATTAGGTACATAAGACGTTCCTGGACTGTGCTAATGAATTACAGAAATGACTCACCTCCCCAATTTCACCCAAGCACTATTATTACCCCCATGTACAAATGGGGAAATGGTGGCCCAGGAAGGTAAAATAAATAGTAGACTCAAGTTTATACAGGCAGTAAGGGCTGGAACACACTGGAACCCATATATGCTTAAGCATCATGCATTCACTGACGCTTTTCCCCCACCAAGGACCACCGCCTACCCCTGCTCTCCCAAAGGCAAAGAAAGCTTTTCTCTCCTGGGTATCACTGGGCTGCCTCCAAGTGGTAGGGATCCCACTGAATTCACCCTATTACCAGCCAGACAGCTGGGTCCCAAGCTCTGCGAGATCCCCCGTGGCCTTGATCCTGGTCACAGCACTCAAGTGAGTGATGGGCAGGATGCTGTCCTGTCTTGGCTTCCTCTCTTTCTCACAGAACTTCTTGGGTCAAAAGAGAATAACCGTGTGACTTCTCTGAAAGCTGCCAAAACAGAGCCATGGTTACAGTGGAGCTTAGAATCAAGAGACCAGGGTTCAAAGTCTAATTCCGCTATTTCTTGTGGCCCCAGGCAATTCACTGGATCTCTGTGGGCCTCAGTTTATGCCTCTGTGAAATGGGACTAATAAAACCTGGCTTCCTAGCTCTGTTGAAAAGATGACCTATGGTTCGTTCAGAGGCTCTGGCACAATGTCTGGCACCTAGTAGGCACCCAATAAGGGGAAACTTCTCTTTATCATCAGCAGGGGCAGCGGCAAACTCTTCCCTACAAGGGAACCCTGTGGATAAAAATAGAAAGGTTCTGGTACCAAGGATATCGAAGAGGTGTTAGCTTGAGCTCATTGAGCCAGCAGGCTGTCCTGAGCCTGGGGCGCTCAGCCGTGTGCCCACGGCCGTGTCTGGGTGTGGAGTGGGCATGGGGTTTCGGAAAGCCTTACAACCAGTGGCCACCCAGTTAGCACAACACCAGAAAGCTGCCCAATTATCTGGAGAAACAGAAATTGTTGGGGTTTTATTTAAACCACTCACGATAGGAAGTACTTCTAGAATTTTGCTTTCACTTTTCTCTGTGACCTTGAATAGAGAGCCCTAAGCCTTTCCATGGCGACTTTCAGTCACACATATGAGCTGTGCTGTGTGCCCCATGTTGTGATCCAGGATGCCCTTGGGGTCCCTGGACTGAGTGCAGAGCCCCGCACCACCACAGGTGGCCAATAACAGATCGACCCCCACTCTGCCCTTGCTGTGCTGACAGTGGGGGTGCCTGTTAAAACGGAAACATCTGAGCGGGAAACACGGAAAGACATCGTGGTCCATGACCTTCGAGTGAGAATTGATTTCTTGGATTAACAGCAGGTATTTGGCACGGCCCCAACGTGGGAGTGGGTCTCAGCTTGAGAAGCAATGAGACAGGACTTGGCTTTGGGGCTGCGTCAGGTGCAGACAGACGGGGACTCAGACCATCTCTGTGGATTTGGTAGTTTAGGAGGGGCCACGGTTAGGATGGCTGAGGGGTGAACTCCCCTTGTCATCACCGAGAACACTCCGGGATCCAGGGGCAGGAAAGGAGTGTGTGCAAGTGGGTACACAGAGCAAAGGCTTCATTGCTGATGGAGGGCCACGAGCCCTGCTTCCCCCAAGATAGCATCCCCATTGCTCAGCCTCATACCCGAAGTCCCCTCTTGCTCTATATGGCAGCCTGTGTCTCTGTCTCTATTTTTATCTATACAAATCGCCTTTTTAAGCCAACAGTTCATATGAAGAGATGGGAAGCATGTGCATCAAATCTGCAGATGACTCAACGCTGGAGGGGATGAGAGAATTAAGGTTCAAGATGAGCTCGACAGTCGAGAATGCTGGGTCAAAAGCAACCAGATGAAATTTAACATCAATAAATCTAATGTCTTGAATGCTGTTTCCAAAAATCAATTGCACAAGAACAGGATGAGGGAGACCTGGCCTGACTGCAACTCACATAAAAAAGATGAGGAGGTTTTAGTCTGCCTCAAGTTCAACATGAGCCAGTAGAGTGGGGAGGGCAAGGGAACGTGCCACAACATCCTAATGCTTCTGCTGCATTAACCCTTAGTGATGGGGGCGCAGGGGTGGGAGAGTGGGGGCTGCCGAATGGCTGTGTCAGAGAGCGGACAGTGACAAGAACAAATACTTTACTGAGGACTCAGGACACGGAGGGGTGGACTGGCTCGCCCACGTTCACACAGCCAGTGGGTGGTGGATCCATGCCCTTGACCGCTCCACCCCACCGCCTCTCTGTTAGACAACACCTTGTCTACTTTCTCTTCCCCATTTTACAGATGAGGAGACAGGACCGGAAGTGTGAGCACGATTTGTCCACAGTCACCCAGTGCGTGAACTGCAGACTCACCCCTCCTGGGAGCCTCTCTTCAGGACTCTCTTCCTCCACCCCTCCACCGTGCTGGGTGGCTGACAACCCGGCAGGGTGGCTGAAGGTTTACTCTTAAGGAACCAGAGCCCGTGTCAAATTTTGTGTGGCACTTATCCCACAAGGGGGTCCACCCTACTTTGCCTATCAGACAGTATAATGCTCAAGATTTAGCTTTTTCTTTGTCCCCCGGAGTCCCATTTGAGGTTAACAATGACCACGCTTAATTGAACCACAGCGGGATATTTACACTGCAGAGAGCAGGAGACCCTATACCAATGTCCCTGTTTGTGTGTTTTTTTTTTTTTAAACTTGTTTTCCTGTGCCACTGCGCATGGCCACACCACGGGCCTCTACGTCTTTCTCATCTGCCACGATTCACCAGGCTTTCACATTAATCGAGACATAAGCTGAGTGTCCGGTGTGTGCCAGGCACACAACTGGGCCTTTCGCATGGATCATGTCAGCTAAACTTTGCGACAACGCCGCAACGGAGGTTATGACTCTCCTCATCTTACAACGAGGAAGTTGGCTTGATAGGGTGACCAACCCCACCACTGTGCCTGGGACTAAAGGGTCTCCCAGGACATGGAAACTGGCATTTCAAATCTGGCCAGTCTTGGACAAACAGGGACAGTTTGGTCACCATGGGCTTAGAGAAGTTAGCTACCTTGCCCGAAGTCCCACAGCTAGAGAGTGGCTGCGTAAAGATTTAAAATCAAGTTTCCCTGAAACCAAATGCATCTTGGTAGAAATGAACGCAAAATAAGAATCCATAGACTCTGGCCAGTTCTCTCCCCTCTGCTTCAGACTCTTGGAAGACTTGCTTTGCTTATTTCCTCATTTTCAGTCCGTGTCAGAAAACCAAGTTCCCACATATATGAAACAAGGAGAGGAGTATCTACTTCCTAGGGTTGTTCTGGGCGTGGAGTGTTTACAAAGAACAAGAACAGTACCCAGTGTGGCAGGAGTTCAAGAAAACGGCATTCCTTTCCTTTTACCTTGATTTCACTGCCTGGTGAGCTACGCTGAGTTTTAGGGATGAGAAATGAGTGGCGCAGGGCTCCGATCATAGTAAGAAACTCAGCCGACCACAGTGGTGAGGGGCCCACAAGGGAGGTCCCCCAAGCAATGAAGGAAGGAACCAAGGAAGAAGGGACAGTGGAAGGCAGACAGGGAGGCTCACTCCCAGCCTTCAAAAGGCTATCATGGGAAGGAAGATACTCAAGCCTCAAGGCCTGTCCAGCACCAGAGGCAAAGTTACTGGGAGGCAATTCTGGCTGGCTGTCAGAACTTGGCAATGAGCAGATCAATGGAAGAAGCTTTCTCAGAGGGTGATGAGAGATTGGGTGACCATCTGCCAGGGGATTCTGCAAAGAGCATCCCCACAGTGCATGGGATGCTGGGCTAGATGAGCACTCAGCTGTCTCCACCCCTGGGACCCTCCAGCAGACGCTGGCTCTCTTCCCTACAACTGTAAATATTTGTGCATTCCCAAGTTATAAAGTGGAGCTCTTGGCTTACAAAGGTCAGGACGAAAGGCTTGTTTGGGGAACAGTTTGCTTAGTGTTTCTTTAGGCTGTGTTTCCAAGACTTCTTGTCATCTGTGTTTAGAGTGGACACAAGCTGCAGGATTTTTTTTTTTCCCGGTAGGGGGAGAATTGTTCAATAGGAAGGGATGCAAATGGAGATCATTCAAGAATGCGGAAGCCAACCGGAAAGTCAAGAACACTTCTCTGTGGCTGTGGCAGTTTGTTAGATCAGCAGACAGGCTCCCACCCTGCCCCTCCTGGTGTAGGTTCAGCCTTGGGGTCTTTTATCCCAGTGCAGAGGGCTTCCTGGTAGGAGTGGGAGGGATTACCCCACTCAGGGCAGTGAGACAACACCCCTGGGGTTTGGTCCATCACCTGTTTTATGGAGATGGGAAGATGGAGGAGGGCAGGGAGGGTTATGGGGTAAGTCTGGATTTGATGCTTCTAGCTGGGTGCCACTGAGTTTCAGCTATTTCCCCAGGATCTGGGACAGGGTTGGGGGGGGGCGATGATAAGATCACTCGGTGCTTGAACTTTGGGAAGGAGTCTTAGTTCCGGTGAGGATCCCAGCATCCTTTTGATCATTGTCTCTTTCCCTCACACTCGGGCTCCTCTACCATGTTGTCATCCTCCTAAAAACACAGATCTGAGCTGGTCACTTTTCCATACTTCTCAAAGGAGCCCCTCCCCACTGTCCACAAACATGCCCTCCTTCCTCACAACCATGCCCTTTCCCTTGGCCTAGAATCTTCTACCCTTCTCATGGTGCTTTAGCTTCCATCTGCAAATAGGGCTAAAAATATCTGTCTCATAAGCTTGTTGTGGGGATTCAATGAGTTAAGAGAGGCAGAGCCTTTAGAATAGCACCTGGCATTTCGGAATAGATGTTTCTGTCCTTACTTTATTATGATGGCCAACTCCTACTCACCCTGCAAGACCCTGGGTCACCTGCTCTGTGAAGCCTTCCTTGTCCTACCCAGACAAAGCTTTGCTTTTCGTTGGCTTTCAGTGTTTGTTTTTTGCTGTTTATTTTGGGGTTCCATGACACTTACATATTTACTTCTCAGGATATTTTTGTTGTAATTATTGGCCCATGTACTGGTCTCTTCCACAAGATGGGGGGCTCTTTGGAATTGGCGGGAGCTTGTTGTATCCAACTCTATACTTACCGACTAGTACAGTCTCTGGCACCTGGCAAGGGCCTCAAAAAATTGTTGTTGCCCAAATGAATGGAAGGATGAAGAAATTAGAAAAACTGTCTGGTGGTCCTGAGAACACCACCCCCCGGGGGTGCTTATTAAGATGATATTGTTTCAACCTCAAGAGACCCTCCTCCACTCTGCATCCCCATGCCCTTCTCCCCTCTCCTCCCCACGCTGTTGGACAGACATCTCTTTTTCCCACTTCCCTCAAACGTTCTGGATTGGAAAATAGCAATCGTTTAGGAAAATGGGTAATTACCAAGGGCTCAATCACAGAAAACATAGAACTCATGGAGTCCTAGTGAAATGTCAAGGATTTGATTAGAGCAAGCCCAGTCCCCGGTGACCTGAAGAAAATATGATCTGTTTGTCCTAGAGGGGGAAGAAGGATCACTCTTTATTTACAAACCAGCCTGGCTAATCCCTTCTGACAATATGGGAAGTCATTCTGCTCTGCTGAAGCATTATTTCAGGGCTCCCTTAAGGAAGAACTATCTTCTACTCAATTAAAGCAAAGCCTGAACTTGCTCTGACCCCGTCATTGCTTGGCCAGGAAAGCAGGCTCGTCTCCTTCCAGTGGGGTGGCTGCCCGGGCTTTGGACCGGCCTCTTTTTCATCAGGATGTCTCGAGCATTTATTGGGGTGAGAAACAGGGGAGTGGAAACCATCCCTCTCCTGCTCCCTTCAGCCTGGCCCAGGCTTGGGTGCAAGGAGAGGAAGGGGGCGCTGCAAAATGAAATGAGTGGTGCATCCCAGCACAGCGGCCCCTCGGGGCCACCCCTGCCCGCCCAGTTCCGTCTGGGGGCCCAGCAGTCAGGATCGGTGAACAGCCCCCCAGTGGCCCCACGAGGCCCCCAAAAGGCTTTTAAGCCCCCACCTGTCTCACAGGAGAACTCAGCTTCCCCTGTCCTGTTCTATGTAGGTCAGCGCCTCCAACTTAGAACCTGCCTGCCAAGTCCTGCCTCTGTCTGCAGGAACGAGCCCTATCGTTATTTAATGGAGACCAAACCAAGATGCATGATCTCACTGGAAAAGCACACACTCGGAGAACCTCACCTCCCCCTCTCCCAAGCTCCACCAACTCCTGGGGAATCCGGAGGGAGAGGGCTTGGCCAGGCTGACTGCTATAGGAAGGGGTACATTAGCTGAAATCTTCTGCAGAGGAAAGTGTAATTTTCTTTCTGCTCTTCTCAATTACAAAATAATAAGATTGCTAAAAATCCAATAGTATGAATGTCAATATTGGCAGGGACAGCCACAGGAAATTTAATTGCACAATGCGTACCAGTTAAAGATGGTATGAGCTCTTCTCGGCTTTTCTTAATTCTAATTATGATGAAATTTACTGATCTTACAGACTCACAAACAGAGGCTTGTCACCAGGCCAGGAAGGGGTCCGAACAATGCTGGCTTCCTTTGCTGAGTCCCTGGCCTTTCCTCCTCCCTAAACATCATCTCTGATTGGGGCTTTTAGCTGGTTGTGAACATCAGCTCTTCAGTTTCTTTGCCATGTCAGAGGACCAGATGTTTTTTATTTGAGAGCAAATTGACACATTAAATTACACTGTGCAAACATTAAAGCCAGCCGCGGGTAAACAGGCCGAGATTCATTGAATTTTACGGGTCACAATAATGTTTATGTAATTTAACAAATTCCTGCCCCGCTGCTGAGTCTATCCAAGGAGTATTAATTTAAGAAACATGGGACCTGCCCAGAAGCTCGCCATCGCCATCCACCCCACCTCTGCCTCTCAGAAACTCGCCAGGTTCTGATGTGGACACGAGAACTCCCCGCACGGAGTGGGGAACCACTGCTAGGTCTCTGTCTTCACGACGTCCCCTATCTGTCCACAAATACGTAGGAAATACTCTTTGGCACTGGACATCTGTTGGGTTTGCCTGTCCAGGATCCACGCATCTCTTCTGTTGATAACAGCCCTGGGACCTTCTGTCTCATTCCCGGATTCCAAGGCCCCTTTGGGGCAGAACCCACTCCAGCGCCCTACAAATGGGCCCTTGACCCAGGCCTGGCCAATCAGATGATTTCATCCAGCCCCTGGCTGATGATTGGCTCAGCCATGGGAAACGTCATCAAACCCAGGCCAATGAGCATCGGCCCCCGCCCTGGCGCAGAAACAGGCAGAACCTGGCGCTCTCTTTCCACAGGTCTTGGTAAGTGGCAACGTGGAAATCGGGAGTTGCTGGGCACCGTTTGCCCCCCGTTGGGAAGAGGCGGCCTGGGAATTAGGCCCACACAGAAGGAAGTAAAAATGCAGAAGGGCAAATTCCCATGAGATTTTCTGAGCCCCTGGATCCAGCTATGTACAGCTGGGTTTTTTGGTTATGTGAGCTGATACATTGCACTTTCTCGGTTAAGTGAGGTTGAGTTGAATTTCTGACGCTTGCACAAAAGGGTCTTGCTCAATGAGCCAAGAAATGACCCCATACAACTCTGTGGGACCAGGACCCCACCCCAACTTTTTCCGCAACACTGGCCTCAGCCCCCATGGGTTCTCCTCTCATCCCTGATTCGCTAGTGCTTTCCTTGGATGCCCTCCGTCCTCCACTCCAGTCAGGCTGGTTTCTTCCTCAGCGTGCCCTGCTTTTCTCTCCTCCCTGCTTTCCCTTATTCTCCTCTTATTGCCTGTAGTGTCATTCCCCCCCCCCCCCCCCCCCCCATCTATCTGTCCATCCTTCCAGGGCAGGCTGAATTCTCCTCTGGAGGAGGAAGCCCCCTTCCCTGAGCTCCTGGAGGGCCTCACCTCTTGGCCCTTAAGTATACGAATTAAAAAACTTTGCGTAACATTGAACTGCTTCTTGTATTGTGTGGTTGTTTCTTCTCTCTCATTTCTTCATAGCCTAAAAACTTCCTGGTACAGTGCTGGGCACATGAACTAAAAGATTATTGGTATTTGAAAGTATATTAGGGGGTTTAAAGATCACCCTGGCCCCACAATTTACAATTGAAGAAACTGAGGCCCAGAGAGTTGAATTGACTTGCCCAAGGTCACACAGCTAGTTTATGGCCAGACCGGAAGTGAAATTCATGCTGCATATTCTTTCCACAACACCAAGCCCCATCAATTTGGTTGATTTATTTTCCGGTTAAGTATATGTATAGCTTAAATTGGGTTGGCATCTTACCATCTATTAATGGTACTGAGTCAGCAATGAGAACAAAGAATAACGGGCTTTACCCAATCAAAAGATCTCGTTTCAACTTCCAGCTGGGCTGTGTGAACTTGGACAAGTCCCTTCATGTCACAAGCTCATTTTCACCACGGCAAAAAGGAGGGTCTTGACCTCGGTGTGCGGGCAAGTAAGTTTTATTTGTGAGACATCTTCCATTGATTGGTGGGGTCACCTGTGATGCTGTGTGGGAAAGATCTGAAGGGGCATCTGGGCTTGGTAGGAGAGAAGGCTATGACCTATTAGCCCTGGCTCTCTCAAGGTCAGGAGCAAGGGTCAAGGCATGTCAGCGGGCACAACAGATACTTGCTCTTCCTGAACTAGATGATTTTGAGGTCCCTTCCTATTCTGTCACTCTAGGTCATTTCTGTCCTGGTGAAAATGCAAATACAGAGCTCATGTCCATGTTCAGGGTCTCCACTGTCATGTTCTGTCACCTTTCTGTGTAGCCTTCATGATACCATGAAACCTCTGGACTCAGGAATCCACACTTCCACTCCCCCAAAAATTCACTTGGGCCCTACCTTAGATCAACCGAGCAACTGAAATTTGGGTTAACATGGTGGCTCTAGTGTGGATTGGGTCAAGTGTGGAGAAAGTCATGAAGTCATGAGAGGGGCTGATAGTCCGGGAACTCTGGGGGTCTGAGAAATCTACTTCCAGTTGTGCAGTGTTTGGGAGCTGGCAATACGCATCCTCCCAACATCCAAGGACCTGGAGTAAAGGAACCCCACAATTCTGGTATGGGCTCCCCTGGAGGGCCAGGGTCCCAGAAGCAGGGGTCCCCTGGGAGGATCTTATTTGTCCATTCCCTCCCTTCAGAGGAGACGTGCAGATGGTCCAATTTCTGATGTGTCAGAGAAGCACCCAGCTAGAAGGCTCACACTCTGTCCTGTTTCCGAAGGTCTGGTTTTTCCCTAGGGCCCTTCCTTCCTCACTTTACCTTTCAAGTGGACATAGCAGTCCTAGTACAGCAAGGTGGTGAGGAAACAGTCCACTGAAATAATCTCTGTAAAGTGCCTGGCAAACGAGGCCTGGCAGGTGCTTGGCAACGTACTTCCCTCGGCTACCCCGAACTCCACTCCCTGCCAGTCTGGGGTTCAGACACTCATTTACCAAGCCTGCCCCTGCTAGGGAGGCAAAGACGAGTAAAACACATAGTACTTGGTTCTTTTTCAGTTGCAGGTGACAGGAATAAAATCCAAAGTAGTTATAGCAAGAAAAAAAGGGGGGGGAATCTCTTGCTCATAGAAGTAATCTCCCTTCAGGCACGGCTGCATCCAGAAATTCCAATGGTGGTATTGGGGCTTAACACACAGGCACACTCTCCCTCCTTATCTCTCAGACTCGCTTTCTCCACCTCACAGGAAAAGATGGGCTATTGGAAGCCCCTCGCAGTTTCGCAAACCCAGAGCCGATGGAAGGAAGGCTTCTGATTGGCCTGACTGGGGCCCTATGCCTGTGATGGAGCTAATCATCACCGTTCGGTAAGATGGGGTGTTCTGATTGGTCAGGCCAGGGTCGTGAGGTCAGGGAAAAGGCAGGATCAGCCCCAGCCAAGCCTCGTGGAAAGAGCTCGCTCTAGGAAGGAAGGCTTCTACCCTCAGGGAAGGGCAGCTGGGCGGACTAAAACCCTAGGCGTCTTGACAGCGTGGCTTCTGAAGACGCGGCGTCTCTTCTTTTAAGAACACGAGTGGGGTACACACTGGGGTCGCCCTGGCCTTCTCCTGGGATTTCCTGCACCGTGAGCCCTCGCGTCCCCCTGGCTGAGCAGAAATGATCACAACTCCTGCTTGGCACCCAGCCCCCGGCAGCCGCCCAGTGCGGGGGCAGCGAGCCAGCGGCGGTGTAACCAGAGGTCTCTGGGTCTCTAGTTTTCTCGGGAGAACATAATAACACGGTGCCGACCGCACAGGCGGTGAACCGGGGCCGGCGGCCGAGGCTTCTGAGGCTCGTGGTTTAGTTCCTGCCAGTGCCAACTCCTTTCTGTCTAACTTTAGAAATCCATGGTTGGCTTGCCTTGCATCAAAGACGTCAAAGTACTCAACTCCAGAGGGTGTGTATTTTTAAAACAACAACAACAAAATCAAAACAAAACCAGAGAGAGAGGGAAAAAAAAAAATCCACTGATCTCTCAGAGTCAAGGAGGCTCAGCACACAGATCCCCGAGCTTCACAGAAATGCCCAGTGACTGTGGTCAGCCCGAATTAAACATATCTACTCTGTTTTTAAAGCTAAAAAAAATTCTAAATGACCTTTAATTAGTAGACCCAGTTCTTTCCTTCCCATCAAAGCCAAGTGTTTCATGCAGAGCTACATTTCCTAAAAAGGCCTGCGGCTGGGAGCTAAGTTCCCTCACCTTGCACGTAGTAATGCCTTGCCAAGGGCAGCCAGCCCTTCCCACTGGCTTTGAGGCTGTGCCGAGTGGGTGCTGGTGTGAGCACAGAGGGGTAAGAGTGTGCCCAGGACAGGAAACTGCAGCTGCAGCTACCGGAGGGCTGTAGTTGCCCAAATCTGACCAATCTGCTCTGCCCTCTTTCTAGCTGGGTGAACTTGAGCAAGTGCCCTCAGCTCTCCGGAGTCAGTTTTCCCATTGATAAAATGGGGCTCCCATTTCCCGGCCAGCCGGACCCTCTACCACAGGATGAAATTGTTGCTAATCTACTGAATGCCCTGATTGCCCGTCCCCTCCCCTCCACTTCTTTTTATTTAAACACTCCTCTCCCTTTTCTCTGTCTTGGTCCATCTTCTCCGTCTCCTCTTCGTTGGGGTCCCTCCTCCCTTGTCCCGTGGGCACCTTGCTCGTCTGGTTTCCAAGCAATGGAGAGCCCAAAGGGGCTGCTGGGACTAGGGAGCAGAGTGAGCTTCCCACAAGGGTGGAATGAATTTGGGTCGGCGTCGGCACTCACTTGGGGACTCCGTTTCTGTATCTTTCCAGGGCATCTGGCCTCCTCACCCCTCTTGGACACAAGGGCTGTAAGAAAGCATTAGTCCTTGTAGATCCAACTGGTGGCACAACCCTCCAGGAAGTTTTCTTCTGCAGTTTACCCAAGTTGGCCAGACAACTTATCCTCTGATTCGGGGGGGTCACACATCATCCCCAGGGAATCATGATTTTTTTCTCAAGGCCATAGCAGTGGAGGGAGAAGGAAGAAGCTTAAAATAACACACACACACACACACACACACACACACACACAAAAGACTAGTGGGGAACACTGATGGGCTCACACAGACTTCAGGATTAATTTATAGATGCTTCTTAAGCTGAAGTGACTCGTTGGGGCAGCTGCGGAGAGGCCGGGCCCACGAGCTCCCAGGGCCCCCAGTCAGCTGAGCCTTTCGTTCCTCAGCTCTGGCTCATGGAGAGAAAAAAAAGCACTGACCTTGACCATGGGACCCAGTGTGATCAAGCCCTCGGCCAGTGCACTTGAGGCTCCTGGAATGTCAGGGTCCTAATGATTTTTTTAAATTCCCTTAGTTGTTTTATTTTGTTTTGTATTTCTATTGAGAAATTTATATACAATGAATGTACCTATCTTTAATGTGCAATTCAATAACTTTTGATAAATGTATTACCATGTCATCCAAGATATAGAACATATCCATTGCCCCAGAAAGTTCTGTTGTCTCCCTTCTAGTTATACCCACCCCAGAGGTATCACTCTTCTGGTTTCTATCACCAACCTGGATGTCACCTATTCTAGAATGTCATACAAAAGGAATCACACTACATTTATCATTTTGTGTATTGTTTCTGTCACTCAATATGTCTGTGAAGTTCCTCTCTCTTGTTGTGCATCGGTAGTGGATTCCGATTTCGACCGAGTCTAGTTCCAGCACATGAACACAGCACCATGTTTTTATCCAGTGCCTCTGCACTGGACTTTTCTGTTTCCAGCTTTTGGCTAGTGTGGATAAAGCTACAATGAGCATTCATGTATAAGTCATTCCTATTTTTTTTTAAGATTTTATTTATTTATTTGAGAGAGAGAGAGAGAGAAAGAGTGAGCACAAGCAAGGGGAGCGGCAGGTAGAGGGAGAAGCAGGCTCCCCACTGAGCAGGGAGCCCAACGCAGGACTCAATCCCAGGACCCTGAGATCATGACCTGAGCTGAAGGCAGACACTTCACCAACGGAGCCGCCCAGGCGCCCCATGTACAAGTCGTTGTGCGGACATATGTTTTCATTCTTCTTGGATAAATACCTAGGAGTGGAATTGCCAGATCATGAGAAGGAAAATACTTAAATTTATCAGAAATTTATAATTGGAGTGGTTTTACCATTTTACACTCTCACCAGCACTGTATGAGGGTTCCAGTTGTTCCTTATCCTCACCAAAATTTCAGGTTGTGGGTCTTTTTAATTTTAGCCATTCTGGTATGTGAGTAATAAATAGTAGCTCATTGGGGTCTTAATTTGTATATGTCTGGTGACTGATGATGTTGAGCACAGTTTCCTGTGCTTATTGGCCATTTGTATATTTCAAAGTCACAAATACTTTCTCCTAGATTTTTTTTCTAAAAACTGTATAGTTTTAACTTTTACCTTTATGACTATAATATACCTCAAGTTAGTGTTTGTGTGTGGTGAGACGTAAGGGTCTAAGTTCATTTTTTACCATATAGTAAACCAGGTGTTTAATATTTGTTGCAAAGACTTTCTTTGCCCCATTGCTTTGGCACCATGGTTGAAATCTATGTGGGTCTACTTGGGGACTCTCCCCTCAGAGGTTCTCTCCTTTTCGGGATTTCTCTCCTTGGCTCCAGCCTAGTCTGTTCCGTTTATCTGTCTTTCTTTATGCCATACCACTCTGTCTTGATTATGTAGCTTTATAGTAAATCTTGAATCAGGTAGTGTAAGTTCTGCAAATGTGTCTTTCTTTTTCAATAATGTTTGGACTATTCTATATCTTTGCTTTTCCATATAAATTCTTTTTTAAAAAGATTTTGTTTGTTTATTTGTTTGTTTGTTTGTCAGAGAGAGAGAGAGCACAAGCACGGGGAGTGGCAGGCAGAGGGAGAAGTAGGCTCCCCGCGGAGCAAGGAACCTGATGGTGGACTTGATCCCGGGACCCTGGGATCATGACCTGAGCCTAAGGCAGACACTTAACCAACTGAGCCCCCAGGCGTCCCCCATATACATTCTTAATGACATGTTTCTTGTCATTTTCTACAGAAACCACTGTTGAGATTCTGACTGGCGTTGTTTTGATGTATAGATAAATTTGGGGAAAAGTGACATATTAACAATATTGAGTTCCATGAACATGGAATATCTCATCATTTATAAGATCCTTTTAAATGTCTTTCAGCAATGTTCTGTCATTTTATGACAAATATTGTTCATATTTTGTTAAGTATATTTCTAAGTATTTGTGTTTGGGGATATTAAAGTAAAAGGACTTTAAAATTCCTTTTTCCAATTATTTTGCTGCTAATATAGAGAACCACAAGAGATTTTTGTATGTAGACCTTGTATTCTACAAACTTGGTAAATTCACTCATTATTTCTAAGAGTTGCTTTGTAGATGCCTTAGGATCTTCTACCTAAAAGTATCATGTTGTCTATAAAGACAGCTTTACTTCTTATGTTTAATCTTAAATGCATTTTAATGCATTTTATTTATTTTTTGTTCAACCTTGTTGTGTTGAGATCTCCAGTACAAAGCTGAATGGAAATGGAAGGTGCAGACATCCTTTGTGTAAGACTGAATTATTTTTTCCTAAAAGGTTTGATGAAATTAATGAGTGACACGATTGATCTCATAATGTGATTGGAGTTTTTCTGTTGGAAGATGTTTATAATAAAGTCAATCTCTTTAATAGATACAAAGCTATTCAATTTTCTGTCTCTTTTTGTGTCATTTTGGTAAGTTGTGTTTTTCAAATAATTTGTCCATTTCATCTAGATTGTAAAACCTGATAGTATAATGTTGTTCATAACATATTCCTATTATCCCTTTAATTTATACCAGACATTGCAGATGACATGTTGCAGAGACTCTGGATTCTGTTATCGTCTTCTGAAGAATATTGATTCTTGTTCTGGCAGGCAGTTAAGTTATTGGATAATCACTATGAACTTGTAGAGACTTGACTTTGCCCTTTCTTGGGGCATGTAATATTTGGTTTACCTTAGTTTTAGGGTGACTCCCTTAGGTCTGGGACATTTTTATTCTGCTCACTTGGTGGGACTCAAAGTCCAGGGTCTGTGTCTGCAGCTGCAGCTGGGCCACAACTGAAATCTCTGCCAGCTTTTATAGCTTTCTAGTTGATGCTTCAACTGGGCTTCTAGATGTTATGTTCATGCATGCACAGTTCAAGGATCAGTCAAAGATTTGAGGGTAGTTTACGTGCAAGTTGGGGTTCTCCCCTCAGAGGTTCTCTCCTTTTCAGGATTTCTCTCCTTGGTTCCAGCTTCTCTGGCAGAGGAGCTCCAACCTCTGACACCTAAGGTCAGAAACACTATGATTTTCTACTTGGATTCTAGCTAGCCCATGCCATGCAAACAGGGGTACGGTGCACTCAGGAGAAAAGTTGTCTAAACATGAATCACCCAGTGAGGTTACCTTCTTTCAAGGGTCAAGCCTACCGCAGTTTCTGCCTGGTTTTGGCAGCTCTCCAATGCTGGCAAATAATTGTTTTGTTTTGTTTTTTATATTGTTCCTACATGAAAGCTGTTGTATACAAGAGAGTTAGTCCAACACAAGCTACATTACCACTTACTCCACTGTCCTATTAAAGTGTGGAGAACATGGTGCCCAGAGAGGAACAGTGATCTGCCAATGTCACATGGTAGTTATTGGCTGAGCCAACTCTCGAAAACCATGTCTTCTGGCTCCACTTGCTGTACCATGGTGCTAGGTGACCTTTGGTGCTTCGCAAGGGGCTATGGAATGAGTTTCTTGGAGCTTCAGGGAGCCTCACTGTAGGCACCAGGTGGAAGGCGAAAAGAAATAAATGATGAAGTCAAGTGGTCCAGGTCCTTCGGGGTCCCCACTGAGCCAGGTGGAAGGTTAGAGAGGCAGAGGCCTAGCCCTTGGGCAGGCTGAGAGGACCACAAAGTACCACCAAGAGGCTGTTACCTGCCCAGTTTATGTCTGTAGTCCAGACCCCCTTAGCACCTGAGACTCAGTCCTTCCAGAACTAAACCATCCTGGTTTTCTCCATCCATGATACATTTCCTCCCGTGTTCCCAAGTTCTGATCAAGGCCCCGCCATCCACTTCCCTGGGTGTCTACCCTAGAATTTGAGAGCAAGTCCTTGACTCCCCTGCTTCATTGCAGAGATTAACACATACCCCACATCCTGAAAAGCCCAGGAGTCTGTCCCTCCTTTTCACCTCTCTGGTCCTAGTTTTTATTCAAGTTTTCTTCCTTTCCCCCTGGTTGATTGCTGTGATGTCCTGCCAGGTCCCAGCTCTGGACTCCTACCCCCAGCCCCACCCCTGCCTCAGTTCCCTAACTGCCTGAGTCTTGTTTGTTATTTCCCCTAAAACCAGAATATGATCCTTTGTTTTCCCCTCCACTCAGGGCCCTCACAGCCCAGTGGTGAAAACAGATTAACATCTGGCTATGATACAAAATAAGAGATGTGAATAACTGTGAACTTGGAGGGCATCAAATTCCCTGTTTGGACCACCCTCCCCTCTCCCTGAACAGGAATTCTGAGGAGACACCAAGGAAGAAGGGGGGAGCTTTCTCAAACCGCTCCTGGGGTCCCCCACCCCACCCACACAGTCAGGAGTTCTCAAGTTTGACATTTTGGCTTCAAAGGGGAAAAATATGCAAAGCTCACGTTTTCAGAAACAGAATAAAGAACAAAAGAAGCGACAAGGTGCTTAAACATTTGTAATAATTGCTACCTTATAATAAATTTATTTCTTAAAAATAGGGGTAGGAATTCCTCCCATCCATCCTCCTCAAGCCTCTCATCTGAAAGCCAAGGGCAAAGATTGCCTTAATGCTCTTCAAACTTTAGAACGTGGAAAGGTCAGAAAGCCCGATGCTGGACAAGACGAAAGACTGCTTGCACCTCACTCTCCCCGGCTTTAAGGAGGAAGGTAATTGCCACTCTCCTTGGCAGCTCTCGGGGTTACTGCTTGTTTCAAATTAGACAACAAATGTGAGCAGAGGCCCTTGGAGAAATCCAAAGCACTGTGACAAAAGGCATTACTACACCAGACATATTTATGTTCATTTTGCCTCTCCTAAGAGCCATTTCTTGTTCCAGTCCTCCCGGGCTGATTAATATTCCAGAGACACAAAATACCTTGAAGAATTGGGGTAGAGATAGGCCCGGAGGATGAAAATCATCGATATTTCCAGGAGCCGATGGGAGCCATCAATATTTCTAGGAGGCCACAGGACCATACAGAGGTTCTCTTAACATCCTTTGAGTGCCCACGATGGCCCGTGCCAGGCAGGCCATGGAACTAGGCGGGGGGGTCGGGACCTGTGCCCTCCCTTGGCCCAAGGATGGAGTCCCTGGCCAGGACCATATGCTCAAACTGGAGGGCAGCGTCTCGGCCACCGTCTCCCCGCCATGCCGTGCTGGGCACCTGGCATCCCTCCTCCAAGTGCAAGGTCAGACCTCCCACTCTCCATCTCTCTCTCTCCATCCTGAAGTTGCTGGGAGGACGAGCTGAGCTCTGGGATGCGGAAGCTTCTGGTAAACTATAAAAGCTGCATACATTTCCGTTGCCATCGTTATCGTCTGTTTGAGAAAGGCCTTTGTGGGGATCCTAATTCTTGCAGGCCTCGTTCAGGCCTCGACCTCCAGCCAGTGTGGTTGTCATCAGGAGGGCTGGCATGAGGCTAGATGCTATGCAGCGGGCGCAGCCTCAGGACACACACCCGGCCCTGCTAGGGTGACCTGATCCCAAACCACCCCAGGCTCCAGTTTTTGCCTTTCGGGTCCCGTTTTCATGCGGCACCGGGTCTCAGGGGGGTCTGGGGAAGGAGGCTTTCTTTTCCTGTCCCCTTAACTGATTTCTTTTGTCTCCTTGGAGGCCTCA